TAGTAACAAGTGCATCGCTCCTAGTAACAAGTGCCTTACTAGTAGTAGGCTCCTGGCATCGCTATTAGGAGCAAGGACGCTACTAGGGGCGCTCCTGGGCCGAAAGGTCCCTCCAAGGACCTCGGACCTCTTTTTTTAAAAACCTGTTGTAAAACGATAGCTCACGCTTCTTCAAGGAAGCTCCCCCCCGCCAGGGCAGGGGGGGCTTCCTTGAAGAAGCACTCGCACTATTGATGTGGTTCCTACAGTAGATTCCTTTGCTAGTAGTTAGAATTCTTCTTAAAATATTCTCGTTACTAGTAGTAAGGCACTTGTTTCTAATAGCTTCTTGTTACTACTAGTAAGGCACTTGTTACTAGTAGCGAGGCACTTGTTACTACTAGCTTCTTGTTACTACTAGCACTCGCACTATTGATGTGGTTCCTAGAATTTTAGGAAACTTAGCTTCCAAGAGAACCCCTCAACCAGGAGAAGCTTCGTTGAAGAAAGTGCCACCACTTGGTCACTAACTCTTACTATGCAGCTCCCACCGCCTAGCCCCCCTAGCTGCCTAGCCCGTCCGTGCCTTTCAAAAAGAAAGGCAAAAACTTTCTGACTTTTTTCTCAGAGATTCGTCAGTGGAAGCATCATCGAGCCCCCAGCGCTTGTTCCAAATCAACTGCCTTTCATGCAGCTCACCCACTGGCTTTCCATCGCTCCGCCGAAACCAGCCACCTGATATAGCATCCCTCAAAATAACAAACAACTAGTAACTACTAGAATTGGTCTACACGCTAGTAGCAATGGCCTCCACCCTAGTAGTGATGGCCTCCACGCTAGTAGCGATGGCCTCCAACCTAAGAGCGATGGAGTAATACCTGAGAGAACCCGACTTGAATCTCCCCAGCTCTAAGGCCATGTTCTCCATGCTTTTGTGCATGTACTTGCCATTTGCTTGAGGGAAATAATATATGATGAGGACTCATGGAGTGAAAACGCACATAGACAAAAAACGCAAAAACCGAGGCCTAAAAGCCGTAAAAAAACACACTTTGCTTTGATCCAGCCTACCTTCTAAGCGATCTAATGCTGCATCTGCATCTGCCAGGGGTGTCACGACCGAGGCAGTGTCCACCAAGTCGACGTGGGTTCCACTGGGATCTCGGCTTTGCCAACCTCAGCTTAGGACGGCGAAAGGGCTCCTCGCTTAGGACGGCAAAGCAAAGCCGGACATGACATCAAGTCGTTCGGAGGTTCCGTGTCAAAGTCCAACAAAGAAGTTTCTTGTTACTAGTAGCTTCTTGTTACTACTAGTAAGTCACTTGTTACTAGTAGCGATGCACTTGTTACTAGTAGCTTCTTGTTATAAGGACAGTTCAAACATGTTCAAATGCATTTTGTTTCTTGCCACGTGGCAAGTTGAAGATTTTGGGCCACTTGAGCTTGTCGTGGTATAGCATGGCGCTGACAATCTACAGGAGCAATGTCCCATGGCACGACTTTTGCCTTCTTAAGGAAAGGACTTCAAGTGGGGTATGGCTGACATCGCTGAGCTACACAAAAATCTGCTAAACCACAAACGAAATGACACTCTTTAGCCTCGCTTTGTTCTTGGAGATGTGGTGCAACATGGCAAGGTAATGGCATTGCAACTAAAGCTTAATGACAGCTCCCGAGGCTTCGCAGCATCCGGCTTGTGCGTGAGCTTGAGCCTTCAAGCCCCTCAAGCGATGTGTGGCAACGCGGCAAAACCCTAGCAATGGCCTCCACCCTACTAGCAATGGCCTCTGCCAAAATGAGAGCTTAAAATCAACTTCACGACTGAGCATGCAGCCGCTTCTCTTGTCAAAAAACTCGCAGGTCACTTCAAACAAACACAGTTCCTAGTACTTAAAGACACTCACGAAGTGCCCGGCTCAGACTTCAAGGCACGGATGGACTCGTAGAGCCCCCCGCTGGAGCGGAAGTCGGGGATTCCAGCGGAGGTGGAGACGCCGGCGCCGGTGAGGACGACGATGCGTCGGTAGTCACCCGAAACCTCAGATGCGTAGAGCATTGGTAGTGACCCGGAACTTCGGATTCAAATCTTAAAAGTAACGTCATTGCTCCTAGTAGTAATGCCAGGAGCCGTGACTCTAATTGCCCCCTGTTTTCTAGTAGTATGGCCAGGAGCGCCTAGTAGCGCCCTTGCTCCTGTCAAAGAAAAGTGGCAGGACTCTACATTCGCTGCCTGAAGATTCTGTGACTTTGGCTGGTCTGCCCATGAAGAACTCGCTGATTGTTCTTGGATGTGCATTGATATTCATGCCTGCGTTTTAAACAGCCACATGGCCTCACCTGGATTTCACTTCGCCCAAACGGAAAGGCCAAAGGCCAAAGGCGCCAAGCGCTGAAAGAATTCCTGCTCGGTCGGTTGAGCGACAGTGGGCCTCCGTTTGAGACTTCCACTTGCACGGGCCAGGTGCTTCCGACCTGCAACACTGCGAGGCTCCGTGCGCAAACTAATGGCAATGGGCTCCAACCTACTAGCGTCCGATCGTTCTTAGTAGCGATGCCAAAAGCCCCGATCGTAGCTTCTTGTTTCTACTAGCGTCCTTGTTACTACTAGCAAGGCACTTGTTACTAGTAGCGATGCACTTGTTTCTACTAGCTTGTTGTTCCTAGTAGTAAGGCAGGAGCCCTAGTAGCGTCCTTGCTCCTAATAGGAATGGCCTCCAACCTACTAGCGGCTGGAAAATGATGGAATCGCTGTTGCATGGCAGGGTCTGCCTTGCAAATGCTCCTGGAAAGACTTTGCGCTCTGCAAGTCCTGATGGAGCAACATACGCACGAAACGTGCTGTAAAAGGTCATCGACGAGCCTGACTTCCAAATGTCCTTCTGGCAAATATCACACCAATGGCAAGAAGATTCGCTATCGCTCCTGAGATGTGTCTCAGCAACATGTGTCGATCACATATCTCAGCCTTTGCAGCTGGAACATTTAGTCAATTTAGTGGGCTATCCTGCGTCCAGTAGGTAGTAGCTTGAGTGGTTAGTAGCTTACTCCCCTACTTCATTAAGCAGGCGCCTACTCAATTCAGGAGCGAAACCACAAAAAGTCGATCAACACGGGGTAGGGTGGACTGTCCCTCCAGGTCTTGCGAGAGACGCCCAATAGGGCGCTACTTGCGGCCCGAGATCGCTTCTCCCTCACATAGTGGACAAACGTCTTCAAGGAGGAATCCTGGTCCGCTTGGCACACTTTGCATACACAGTATAATACTAACGAAAGATGAAAAGGACCCTTGGAGAGTACGAAGACCTTCGTCTTCTTCCTTGAGGATCTGACTGATGGTGACCAATGCAAACCTGACTCTTGTCACAAGAAAGGTCAGAAACCAGGTCCTGTCCCATCGCAAACGGGGCATTCCGAAGCCATGGCCCATCTCTCGCATATTGGGTTTTGCTTTTCCGCAGCCTCCAACCTAGCAATGGCGTCCAACCTAAGAGCATTGGGTTTGGCTTTTCCACAACTGGACTAGCTGAAGAAATGACTTTTGAGGTGTTGATTCAACTCTTTCGACACTAAGTTTATGAGTGGGACACACTGATGCCCAAATTGTCCCGCACAAGCCCCTGAGAGCTAAAGCTGAAGCCACCAACAAAATGAAAGGCATTTTGCACATGCAAAGTCTGCAATTAGTGGCATCATGAGCAACGGTCTCACGTTGCCCTACTCCAACCCCTTCGGTTTCTGGTCCACAAACTCCGAAGTCATCTTTGTATGTCATTTTGCCATGCCACAGATTGGGAAAAATAGATAGCCTTGCAGGCCTTGCCCTTCCTCTCGCCCTCGATCAATCATGAATCAAATTAATCTTATGTATATATAATCACAGCCGCCGGTCTTTTTCACGCGTTGCAGCCAGTTTGTCTGA